TTTGGTTTAACCAGCTACGCTAGAGAGCCGGGCAATGTCTGGCGTTTAAGTCAGAACCAATAACCAGCAAAGCGAATGGAAGTGGAGTGTTTTTGTCTAATTTCAACTACCATGGACTACATACATTATTGTTCAGAAGGTGAAGAGAGATTGAAAGTTTGTAATGATTTTACTGATATTATGGCGTTTTTGAAACTTAAACATATTTCTTTACAGTATTGCTTCTTTGATTACTGCCATTGCTTATATAATGTTTTATTCTCGGCTATCCCATTTCCTGGGGCGAGACATGTTTTTTGTATATTTAGTTTTAAATTTGTGGTTGTATGTTCATGATTTTGCAAGTGAGTAGTGATGTATTCTATGTCACTAGTACATCTTTATTTTGTTTTGTTTCTGGAGAGGGGTATAACTCGTAACTTCAGGGTGTGGTAAAATATGCACAAAGAGGGAATGATAGTGATTTTAATTTAAACAATTACTGGGATGTCAACAAATTTAGTGGAGGGATATGTAACAGGAGTAGGGGATGTAGATAGTTGGCCACTTAACTCTGAGTCCCAGGGGGTTTAGCATCACAGGCCCAAGGGGTAGTCAATAAAGTTGAAAATTGGCCCATCTTGCGTTCATTGGGCTTCTAGGTAGGAATCTATGAACGCATGATGCGTTCCTTGGGACTCAAAGAGTTAAAATGTTTTTATTTGGCAACACTTGGCAGCACACACCTGCGGAAGTTGCTAATCATAGCTCTAAAGAAGTGTCCAGAAACTTCACCTGTAGCCATGAGGGGATAGTGCAGATTGGTCTGTCAAAATATGGGACGCTCTTCCCGAATGCCTGAAGCGCCTAAGGCGTGAAAAGGGAGCTTTACTTACTTTACTTTTACATGAGGGGATAAACAGGGCGGGGTGTGCCCACGCTTTCCTTCCAGCACCAGCAACAAAAGAGATAAGACTGCCCTGAACCTTACTAATCGTTGCCAAATCACATATGATTAGCGTAGTAGGGGTACATATGCAGGAATGGTACCATCTGGTTTCTCCAGACGGGAAACAAGCCAGAGGTCAAGATGCTAAAAAAGATGCCAGCGTGGTCCTTTTAAGGATTAAGCTGTTATCAGCGACAAAGGTCGCAGCAAAAGCCCACCCCAATCAGGAGATGAAAGAGAAGCAGACACGTGAGAGCAGACAGACAGACATTGACAGTGAACTCTCAAAAAAAAAAAAAAAAACACGTATTGGAAGATGAGCTAAATCAATCGCAACCTTCAAGCAGATGAAAAAGGCAGAAGAAACATCAAACATCCTGAATATAAACCTTAAAACACAAGTCGATCAGGTTCAATTCATAAAGAAAAACAATCTGGCTGCTCACTAGTTGTCACTTTCTCTAGCTGCCACTTGTCATTAGTTGCTAGCCATTGTTCACACATTGTATTAGTTGTCATGCGTTTTAGTAGTTACTAGTCGTTTGCTCAATATTCTTGTTGTTGAGTTTTCCCAAATTTACTGCTGCCTTCATTGAATGCCAGTGCAGTCTCTGACTGTAGCAATGAACAGATTAATGAGAATAAAGCCTTTGTACTTGTGTTTGGATTTATATCTTATATCCAGTTATGTAGTTACCTGTATGGTTGTTTTCCTGTTATGACATGCGGCTTTTTGCAAAATAACCATTTTTGTCCCAGGTAATGCAGGTGCGAAAGGCAATGAGGGAGCAGATCCCATGGATGGCAGTGCAATGGTCAGGAATGGGCCATCTGCTGACAGGAGAGACATCATCAATGCCATACGAGAGACCAAATGCTTTGAGTTTCATGGAGATTTTTTCCCCTGAACAGACAACACACCCTGGGTGTACCAACTGGAGCAACGAGGCAGGAAAACCATGTGTGAGCCACTCGTCGTTACACCAGACAGAACAGACTGGGAGTTGTTAGCTTAAAAACACTTGGAGACATACTCAGGAGGACAGCAGAGCACTGATGGTCGTGTCCGATGTGCCATGAAGATCATCTTTAAATAAACAATGTTTCTTACTATTAAAAACATTTCTATGTATCTAACTGTCGACGTCTCTGGCTTGGGCGTGAACGCCCTTCATACTGCCGGGGTGCCGGTTTCGATCCCAGCTGTGGGCCTTGCGCTGGTTTCGACACAGGTATCGCGAAAGCCCACTGTCCAGAAAGCAATGACAAACTACTGGACGTAAACTTGCCTAGAAAAACCACAACAGCCAAAAAAATGCTAGGGGTTGGTTCTGAAACGTCCTGTAAAGGATACACAACTAACTCAACATTTATCTAGCTGAATCTAACTGAATATAAAGTGTAGACCCCCTATTGAGCTACCTCTGTGAGGACTAGGATACTACAGGTCTTAGTCCTCGCCTATTGAACTTAAAATGATTTTTTCTTGTTAATAAAATAGTTTTGGTGTGGGTCTTATATCCACATAACATTCTTTTGTGGAGCTCTTGTGGGACTGGAGCTGAGATAAGTTTGAAGAGGAACTTATCCACATTTGTGCTTTGTCAACTCCATTGTCCCCTCTCTGCTTTCATTTAAGTAAATTCCTGTTGTTGTTGTTGTGTCTTCATCAAAATACTTAGATTACTCTAACTAAATCTTTACTAGTAGATAAGAGTTGAAGGCAAGGCTGTAAGAGGTAGACAATGAAACAAATGGGATGACAGCATCAAGAGATGAACAAACAGCAGTTATGGAGAATTTACTACAGAAACATCGACATCTATGGTGCAGACATGTGTGCTTCGTTATTCTGCAGTGCTGGATTTGATCCCAGCTGTTAACGATTAGACAGCAGAGGCCTTGCGTTGGTTTCAACAGTGGAATCAAAAGCTGATTGTTAAGAAAACATTGAGAAAACTGCTGAACGTAAAATTGTCTAGTGAAATCACAAACATCCCCCTCGGCCCCATATAAATACTGGCACTGGTCCTGCAGTAGAGGGTATGCAATTTAAACTGTTACGATAAGACACAGCATGTGGCCACCTATTGCAGCCATCCTTTACTGTGGAGATGGCAACTGCCTGATTAGGTTGCTTTAGGTGTTCACTGTATTTTCAATCTTCTGACATGGGGGCCTTCATGGTGAAGTGGTAGCCAAACCAACTGCTCTGTTGGCCATGGATTCTTTCTGAAGGATGTCATTCAGTTCACGAGTGCAACTGTTATGGAGACTCCCTGGGAGTCCTTGTCGGAGCTCCCTTGTTCATGTCTGTGTGATGCTCTGTGGATACAGACTGAACCCTATGGGATAAAACCAAGCCAATTCTCTGGACTTTAATCTTCTGACATTCATTATACAGTCGAGTCTGGATAAGTAGAAATCGCAGGGACCTAAGAAAATGCTTCCACATATCAGGATTTCTACTTATCCAGACAGCTTACACAATAGAGAAAAATTGCCGGGACTAAGCTGGTCATGTCGACTTAACCAAAATTAAACTTATCCGAGTTCGACTTAAGTGGACTCGACTGTACTTGCCACAGAAGTTGAAGCCAAACTGTTTCTGTTTAATGATACACTGTATTAACATCACAACACTGGTTAGATCAACAATAATCTTCGTCGTCATCAACAAAGAAGTACATAAAGTTTACAAAAGTGTGGTATTCCAATACAGGCAGGTATATCATGATACACGGAAATGCTGGAATTATAAAATATAAAGTTCACATAAGTGTGATGTCTGAATACAAGCTAGTATACTGTATATACAGAAATAACTCAAATAAGTATGTACACAGACAGAAATAATTCGTTCAGTATAAGAATAGGTGGGCAAGCAGTTAACAAACTAATCCTAAATGTTGGCTGCTAACAGAAGTTAGAGCTACAACTGAAGATCAAGACTGGCTCAATGACACCATCTATTTTTTTTAGCCAGTGCTAGAGCAAAACACCAAGACTAGCTCAAGAATGACACCATCCAATATCTTTAGCCAGAGCTACAGTTAAACACCAACATTGACACAGTAATGACACCATCTCCACTTTTAGCCAGAGCTACAGCTCAACACCGAGACTGACTCAAGAATGACACCATCTCTATCTTTAGCCAGAGCTGCAGCTCAACATCGAGACTGACTCAAGAACGACACCATCTCCACCTTTAGCCAGAGCTACAGCTCAACACAGAGACTGACTCAAGAATGACACCGTCTCCATCTTTAGCCAGAGCTATATTTAAACACCAAGACTGGCTCAAGAATGACACCATATCCATCTTTCCTTTTTCTCATCTGCTTATTCTAATATCAACACAAGAAATCCATTTATGTTGCTGTACCTGAGAATGCACAGTAGACCTCTACAGCTCTGTATGGATCCTTGCTGAATAAGCAAATGATAAACAGCTTGTAGCAGTCTTCAAGGAAATTTTTGGCTATCTGGTCTTCAGTCATTTCTGACCAGGGATTGAGTTCATCCGATCAAACAATGTGAATCTTTATATGGACTGGAATAAAGAAATACTATTTGTTTTCCTGAAGGTATTCATTGTAATGTATTTACTGCCTGGTATTCACTGTAAGGTTTTTACTGCCTGGTATTCACTGTAAGGTATTTACTGTCTGGTATACATTGTAAAGTATTTACTGCCTGGTATTCACTGTAAGGTATTTACTGTCTGGTATACATTGTAAAGTATTTACTGTCTGGTATTCACTGTAAGGTATTTACTGTCTGGTATTCACTGTAAGGTATTTACTGTCGGGTATACATTGTAAGGTATTTACTGTCTGGTATTCACTGTAAGGTATTTACTGTCTGATATTTATTCCATAATATTCAGTGTCTCATATTTATAGCACTGGTATCCACTGTCTGCTTTTGACTTTCAAAATACTGCCTACTGATATAAGATATTCAACATGTAACAGCTACCGGCTATAAACGACTGTCTGTTGTCTACATTTACTGTCTGGCAGCTTTTAGCTGGCAGACACTGTCTAACATTTACAAGCAGAGGTAATCATTTGGAAGCGTTGTAACCAGTTGCCTGGAGAAACTGTCGGATACTCTGACACACTTTCTCTGGCTGGTCCATCTGCACCCAGTGGCTGGACTCCTCGATTCTAGTCACGTCAGCGTGGGGGATGGCCTTGATGGTGTCCTCAAGCAGGGTCAAGGTCACTGCAGAATCCTGGCAGCCCCAGATAATTTTAACTGGCATAGGGTACTTGAGTGGGTGGCGATACGGAGGAACTCCAAGGTTGGCCCGATAGTAGTTAATACCAGCAGTCATGGCCCCTTAACATGAAACAAATGGAACAGTTTAAGTATGCTTAACTTTATGACATTCATAGGTCTGCATGAGGTCATTATTTCCAGAAATGTGCACAAATAGTATTAATGAAATGTCCACAGTTGCTTTCCCAAGAAAAGTCCAGGTACACTATCAACTAAAGACCCCCCCCCCCCTTTCCCCCAATTAAAAAAAAAAACCCACATACAGTTTTAACCAAAGAAAAGGCCAAATAATCTATCAACTAAAGAAACCCCCACATACAGTCTTAACCAAAGAAAAGGCCACATAATCTATCAACTAAAGAAACCCCCATGTACAGTCTTAACCAAAGAAAAGGCCACATAATCTATCAACTAAAGAAACCCCCAAGTACAGTCTTAACCAAAGAAAAGGCCACATAATCTATCAACTAAAGAAACCCCCATGTACAGTCTTAACCAAAGAAAAGGCCACATAATCAACTAAAGAAACCCCCACGTACAGTCTTAACCAAAGAAAAGGCCACAATCTATCAACTAAAGAAACCCCCATGTACAGTCTTAACCAAAGAAAAGGCCACATAATCTTTAAACTAAAGAAACCACCATGTACAGTCTTAACCAAAGAAAGGCCACAATCTATCAACTAAAGAAACCCCCATGTACAGTCTTAACCAAAGAAAAGGCCACATAATCTTTAAACTAAAGAAACCACCATGTACAGTCTTAACCAAAGAAAGGCCACATAATCAACTAAAGAAACCCCCACGTACAGTCTTAACCAAAGAAAAGGCCACATAATCTATCAACTAAACAAACCCCCATGTACAGTCTTAACCAAAGAAAAGGCCACATAATCTATCAACTAAAGAAACCCCCAGGTACAGTCTTAACCGAAGAAAAAGCCACATAATTTATCAACTAAAGAAACCACCACGTACAGTCTTAACCAAAGAAAAGGCCACATAATCTATCAACTAAAGAAACCCCCAAGTACAGTCTTAACCAAAGAAAAGGCCACATAATTTATCAACTAAAGAAACCCCCACGTACAGTCTTAACCAAAGAAAAGGCCACATAATTTATCAACTAAAGAAACCCCCACGTACAGTCTTAACTAAAGAAAAGGCCACATAATTTATCAACTAAAGAAACCCCCACGTACAGTCTTAACCAAAGAAAAGGCCACATAATCAACTGAAGAAACCTTTACGAACAGTCTTAACTAAAGAAAAGGCCACATAATCTTTAAACTAAAGAAACCACCATGTACAGTCTTAACTAAAGAAATGGCCACATAATCTATCAACTAAAGAAACCCCCACGTACAGTCTTAACCAAAGAAAAGGCCACATAATCTATCAACTAAAGAAACCCCCAAGTACAGTCTTAACCAAAGAAAGGCCACATAATCAACTAAAGAAACCCCCACGTACAGTCTTAACCAAAGAAAAGGCCACATAATCTAACAACTAAAGAAACCCCCAGGTACAGTCTTAACCAAAGAAAAAGCCACATAATTTATCAACTAAAGAAACCCCCACGTACAGTCTTAACCAAAGAAAAGGCCACATAATCTATCAACTAAAGAAACCCCCAAGTACAGTCTTAACCAAAGAAAAGGCCACATAATTTATCAACTAAAGAAACCCCCACATACAGTCTTAACCAAAGAAAAGGCCACATAATCTATCAACTAAAGAAACCCCCAAGTACAGTCATAACCAAAGAAAAGGCCACATAATTTATCAACTAAAGAAACCCCCACGTACAGTCTTAACCAAAGAAAAGGCCACATAATTTATCAACTAAAGAAACCCCCACGTACAGTCTTAACCAAAGAAAAGGCCACATAATTTATCAACTAAAGAAACCCCCACGTACAGTCTTAACCAAAGAAAAGGCCACATAATTTATCAACTAAAGAAACCCCCACGTACAGTCTTAACCAAAGAAAAGGCCACATAATCAACTGAAGAAACCTTTACGAACAGTCTTAACTAAAGAAATGGCCACATAATCTATCAACTAAAGAAACCCCCACATACAGTCTTAACCAAAGAAAAGGCCACATAATCTTTAAACTAAAGAAACCACCATGAACAGTCTTAACTAAAGAAATGGCCACATAATCTATCAACTAAAGAAACCCCCACGTACAGTCTTAACCAAAGAAAAGGCCACATAATCTATCAACTAAGGAAACCCCCACGTACAGTCCTAACCAAAGAAAAGGCCACATAATCTATCAACTAAAGAAACCCCCACGTACAGTCTAAACCAAAGAAAAGGCCACATAATCTTTAAACTAAAGATACCACCACATACAGTCTTAACCAAAGAAAAGGCCACATAATCAACTAAAGAAACCCCCAGATACAGTTTTAACCAAAGAAAAGGCCACATTATCAACTAAAGAAACCCCTACGTACAGTCTTAACCAAAGAAAAGGCCACATTATCTATCAACTAAAGAAACCTCCACGAACAGTCTTAACCAAAGACATGGTCATATAAACTATCAACTGAAGAAACCTCCAAGTACAGTCTTAACGTAAGACATGGCCATATAAACTAACAACTAAAGAAACCTCCACGAACAGTCTTAACCAAAGACATGGTCATATAAACTATCAACTGAAGAAACCTCCAAGTACAGTCTTAACGTAAGACATGGCCATATAAACTACCAACTGAAGAAACCTCCAAGTACAGTCTTAATGTAAGACATGGCCATATAAACTATCAACTGAAGAAACCTCCACGAACAGTCTTAACCAAAGACATGGTCATATAAACTATCAACTGAAGAAACCTCCAAGTACAGTCTTAACGTAAGACATGGCCATATAAACTATCAACTGAAGAAACCTCCAAGTACAGTCTTAACGTAAGACATGGCCATATAAACTATCAACTAAAGACATGCCTACATTTAAGGTGACAACTGACATCACAGCACTCGGGATGCTCCCATAAGCACTCACTCCCCATCTTCAGTAGCCAGTGTAGGGTTCCAATTCCACAGGTAGCAGATGCAGTCTGAATGAATGTCTGTCTGGCTTTCCCTCTGAATGTTGAGTGCCGGCCAAATTCTCTGCTTAATGTATCATTCTCATTACACTGGGATAATCTGTATGCCCCGCACCTTCTACTGTTCACTCGTTCCCAAAAGGCCTTCCTTGATCTCTTCTAGCTTGTCATGCATTACCTCTTTGAGCCCCAGGGAGTCTACCATCAGAGGCCCAAGGGGTAGTCTAGAGAGATGTAAAATTGGCGCATCTTGCATTGTTTGGGCCTCTAGGTGGGAACCTATGAACGTATGGTGCGTTCCTTGGGACTCTAATCTGTCACCAACTGGTGTAGAAACAGCCAATCTGTCTGCATGTTTTTTCTGCATATACTAGAATATCTTGGAGAAAATATTAAAAGGGGCACTAACTACCCAGGATCTCTGAAACGATGTCTGCAGCTCTACACAGAGCATACCTGTCTAGTCCAACTTTCTCTGTCTGCTTTGTTAATCTGATGTGTGTCTGGTATACACTGTAAGGTATTTACTGTCTGGTATACATTGTGAGGTATTTAATGTCTGGTATACATTGTGAGGTATTTAATGTCTGGTATACATTGTGAGGTATTTACTGTCTGGTATACATTGTGAGGTATTTACTGTCTGGTATCCATTGTGAGGTATTTACTGTCTGGTATACATTGTGAGGTATTTACTGTCTGGTATACATTGTGAGGTATTTACTGTCTGGTATACATTGTGAGGTATTTACTGTCTGGTATACATTGTAAGGTATTTAATGTCTGGTATACATTGTGAGGTATTTAATGTCTGGTATAAATTGTGAGGTATTTACTGTCTGGTATACATTGTGAGGTATTTACTGTCTGGTATACATTGTGAGGTATTTACTGTCTGGTATACATTGTGAGGTATTTACTGTCTGGTATACATTGTGAGGTATTTAATGTCTGGTATACATTGTGAGGTATTTACTGTCTGGTATACATTGTGAGGTATTTAATGTCTGGTATACATTGTGAGGTATTTAATGTCTGGTATACATTGTGAGGTATTTAATGTCTGGTATACATTGTGAGGTATTTAATGTCTGGTATACATTGTGAGGTATTTAATGTCTGGTAGACATTGTGAGGTATTTAATGTCTGGTAGACATTGTGAGGTATTTAATGTCTGGTATATATTGTGAGGTATTTACTGTCTGGTATACATTGTGAGGTATTTAAATCCTGGTATACATTGTAAGGTATTTAATGTCTGGTATACATTGTGAGGTATTTACTGTCTGGTATACATTGTGAGGTATTTACTGTCTGGTATACATTGTAAGGTATTTAATGTCTGGTATACATTGTGAGGTATTTACTGTCTGGTATACGTTGTGAGGTATTTAATGTCTGGTATACATTGTGAGGTATTTAATGTCTGATATACATTGTGAGGTATTTACTGTCTGGTATACATTGTGAGGTATTTAATGTCTGGTATACATTGTGAGGTATTTACTGTCTGGTATACATTGTGAGGTATTTAATGTCTGGTATACATTGTGAGGTATTTACTGTCTGGTATACATTGTGAGGTATTTACTGTCTGGTATACATTGTAAGGTATTTAATGTCTGGTATACATTGTGAGGTATTTAATGTCTGGTATACATTGTAAGGTATTTACTGTCTGGTAGACATTGTGAGGTATTTAATGTCTGGTAGACATTGTGAGGTATTTAATGTCTGGTATACATTGTAAGGTATTTACTGTCTGGTAGACATTGTGAGGTATTTAATGTCTGGTATTCATTGTAAGGTATTTAATGTCTGGTATACATTGTGAGGTATTTAATGTCTGGTATACATTGTGAGGTATTTAATGTCTGGTATACATTGTGAGGTATTTAATGTCTGGTATACATTGTGAGGTATTTACTGTCTGGTATACATTGTGAGGTATTTAATGTCTGGTATACATTGTGAGGTATTTACTGTCTGGTATACATTGTGAGGTATTTAATGTATGGTATACATTGTGAGGTATTTAATGTCTGGTATACATTGTGAGGTATTTAATGTCTGGTATACATTGTGAGGTATTTAATGTCTGGTATACATTGTGAGGTATTTAATGTCTGGTATACATTGTGAGGTATTTAATGTCTGGTAGACATTGTGAGGTATTTAATGTCTGGTAGACATTGTGAGGTATTTAATGTCTGGTAGACATTGTGAGGTATTTAATGTCTGGTAGACATTGTGAGGTATTTACTGTCTGGTAGACATTGTGAGGTATTTAATGTCTGGTATACATTGTGAGGTATTTAATGTCTGGTATACATTGTGAGGTATTTACTGTCTGGTATACATTGTGAGGTATTTACTGTCTGGTATACATTGTGAGGTATTAACTGTCTGGTATACATTGTGAGGTATTTAATGTCTGGTATACATTGTGAGGTATTTACTGTCTGGTATACATTGTGAGGTATTTAATGTCTGGTATTCATTGTGAGGTATTTACTGTCTGGTAGACATTGTAAGGTATTTACTGTCTGGTAGACATTGTGAGGTATTTAATGTCTGGTATACATTGTGAGGTATTTAATGTCTGGTATACATTGTAAGGTATTTAATGTCTGGTATACATTGTGAGGTATTTAATGTCTGGTATACATTGTGAGGTATTTAATGTCTGGTATACATTGTAAGGTACTTACTGCCTGGTATACACTGTATTTACTGTCTGGTATATACATTGTAAGGTATTTAATGTCTGGTATACACTGTATGAAATATACTGTCTGGTATACATTGTAAGGTATTTAATGTCTGGTATACACTGTATGAAAGTTACTGTCTGGTATACATTGTGAGGTATTTACTGTCTGGTATACATTGTAAGATATTTAATGTCTGGTATACACTGTATAAAATTTACTGTCTGGTATACATTGTGAGGTATTTAATGTCTGGTATACACTGTATGAAATTTACTGTCTGGTATACATTGTGAGGTATTTACTGTCTGGTATACATTGTAAGGTACTTACTGCCTGGTATTCATTTAATGTACTTACTGCCTGATATTCACTGTAAGGAATTTACTGTCTGATATACATTGTAAGGTGTGCAGTTGGTTCTCAATCAAGCAGAAGGCTGCAGTAACATTTTACACATCCATTCTCAACCTAGATGTTTTAGTTATCATATGCCAGGCTTTGTTGCATTAGTTAGTCTTTCCTCTTGTGTCGAGTGCGGCACATAGGGCAGAGGTCATGACTCTCCATGCATGGCGGTTCGTTGCAATGCGTTGTAGGTCTTGGATGTTTGAGTGGCCCATGAGCGAGCCTTCCCTGATGATAGTTCTACGTAGGGTTTCCCTTGTTGCATTAAGGGTCATCAATTCACTTTTGCTTTGAACCCCCACACGCTTCTTCTGCCTCTCAAACACAGATCAATCTGTATACACAACTATATAATCTGCATGTGAACTGTCATGAATCAGTTGTGGAATTTCTGATTCTGCTGCATCGGCTAGCCAATCCCTGCACTTCATTCGTGTTCAACAATATCCACATTAACTATAAACAAAAGAAATGCTCACATATACTATAAAATAAATAATCATCATGTAGCAGGTCCTTTGCAGAACGTCACTCCCACCACAGTATGCCTGAATGAAACCGGGTCTCTCACAAGCTTCTATATAGAGAAGATAGTGTTAAAAACACACACACAAAAACCAATGAGTTGCACGTGAATAATTAAATAATGCCTGCAGTAGAAGATTACCTGGTTGTCTAAAATAATACTTGTAACATTCCACATCCTCTTCCGTCATCAGACCAGAGCGAACCCCAAACTTCTTGCCAATGTAGGCCATTTCCAAGAACTTCAAATCCTCGAGGCTAGCATGGAATTCTGGGAAATACGGCAGCAGGAACTCATAAATATACCTGTGGAGTTACAGACAAGAGATACATTCAGGTATTGGTTTTTGGCACCTTTCCGTCTTTCCAGATAATATTGTTATCAGAAAGCAGAGGAATCAAAGCCCATGAGAAGTGTGACTAGCAAGACCTGCTCGTGTTCAATCAGTCAGTCCCAGGAGGTCACAGCTGATGCCTCAATCAATGAGGCAATAATGACGGCAACAAAATTATGGGTATACTACATCCACAGGGGCTGAATAGGCAACCCTTGTATGAGACTTGTGTGTTGTTGGGTGTTTTACTATGTCCTGCTTAAACATAAAATGTACAAGCATAATCATATTTTGACTGTTGCATATTAGTAAATGGGAGCCGCTGTGGTGCAGCAGCTAGACGTTTGCCATGGATCCAAAGGTCATGGGTTCAATTCCAAACGGAGCCAGACTTTTTTTTTCAAAATGGACTTGGCTCCCAAATCAACCCAGCATAAAATATGTACCAAGTAGAGTGACGGAAAGCAAAGGCGGCTCACAGCACTTACTAAGTGCCAGTTGGTTTATAAAATGTAGTTGTTGCCCAATATGCCCAGAGGTGTGGAAAAGGGTCCTCTAATTATTTGAGTAAATGCAGTTGCATGCAGTGTGTTCTTTGGTATTGAAAGAGTTATGAAGTCCTCTACAATTAAAGCATTGAATTTTGAGACCATTACTCCTCTCCATAAGCCTGATCGTGATTTATTCAACAGTTGAATGTTGAATTAAGAATCGACATCACAGCACTCAGGACACTCCCATAAGCACTCCATCCCCATCTTTGGCAGCAAGCAAAGAGTTCCAATTCCAATGGTAACAGTTACGGTCTGACTGTATATCCGCCTAGTCTTTCCTTTGAGTGTTGAGGGTTAGCCAGATCCCCTGGTGACTCCTTGCAGCACCATTCTCCTCAGACCATACTGATCTGTCTGTCCCTCAGCACTGTTCACTTGCACCCACAGGTCCCTTACAACTCAACAGAAGTCTGGATACTGACTTTCTTCTCATTCATTCCTATCATTTATTGCCTCAGCACTGGTGAAGTAGGCGAGGCAGTGGTTGGAAAGCTGGGTTTTCAAATCACGAAATACAAGCGTAGCATATCCAAGGTTGTTTGTCTTTTAAAGACAACAAATATGATGCGGCCATATCTGTTACTTCTGTATCTGACCTTTTTAATCTCCATGAAAGGTGAACTTTCAAGAGGAATACAATCAGTAGGTCACAAATGGTTGTGAGACAGCAGGAAAATATAACTGGTGGTTTCTAAAGGTGTCATTAGGAAACAGCAATATCGAACTTTATGTCTCCATTTGTTTAGGAGGCGCTAGGTGTTTCATGCGCCCTCGCAGCGCAGAGGCAAAATGGCAACTGTACTAGTACTTACAAAGTGTACCCTCAAAGACAACATGCTGTTGTATTTAGGGGGGGGGGGGGGGGGCGCCTGCAAAAAAGATTTATATGGAAATGCTTCCTGTTTATGCTGACAAATGTTTACCCCGTAAAGTGGTGCACTGAAATCCACCTTGGCAGGAAACATTTCACCAATGACAAAAGAAGTTGAATGTGAAGAAAAAATGTGGTTTAGAAAACAGAGCACCCAGTTCCATGCAGCAGGTTTGGGAGTACTTATAAAAAAATATGACAAATGCACGCAACACTCAGGTTCTGGAACAGGACTAAAGTCTAGAAGTGGACCAACACCACAGTTTACAGATGGTGAACAAGAAAAAGAAAGAAGAATATACTGATTACTTCTCTATATATTTTTTTCTTCTAGTGACCTCACCGAAGTCCGACCCAATATGTTACAGCCTTTTTGTGCTCTACCTAATCTGGACAGCATGTTAGCGGGCTACTCAAAATGCAGAAGAGAGAACTCACCCAGAAGCCAGAAACTGGACTGGTTTACTGGGGTCGGTGAAACCATCTCGCCAGATGCCCACAGGAGGGATGTTCATGACCACGAGCCTCTCCACCATTTCTGGGTGAGCTGCAGCAAAGGCATAGGCCACAGCCCCGCCCCAGTCATGTGATACCAAGACACATGACTTGAAACCTGAGAATGCCAAGACAAGACACACGATTTATAATCTAAGAATGTTAAGACAAGATTTATGATTTATTATCTAACATTGTGGAGGCAATATATGATTTATAATCTAAGAATCCGAAGAAAAACATGATTTGTTATCTAAAAATGTGAAGATGAGACATATGATTTAAAATCTAAGAATGTGAACATTAGACAAAATTTAGAATCTAAGAATATGCAGACAGGACATATAATTTACAATCTAAGAATGTGAAGACAAGACATATGATTTATAATCGAAAAATGTGGAGACAGGACATGATTTATAATCTAAGAATCAGAAGAAAAACATTCAATTTATAATCTAATAATGTGTAAACAAGACATGATTTATATCTAAGAATGTCAAAATGAGACACATCTAAACATGCGAAGATGAGACATATGATTTATAATCTAAGAATGTGAAGACAAGACATTTATAATCAGAAAATATGACAATTATGTCTTTTATTTACAAATTTTAACAGAATTTATAATGTATAAATTTAGTATGTTAACATAAAGTATGATTTATACCTAGAAAACATTATTTAGAGAAAAATATAGTCTGATAAAAATAACATATTACTAATTTATAACAAAGGAATTAAACGCAAAAACTAATTTGTAACTTCAGACTGTCAAACAAAACAGATATGAGAGTTAATCTTGATAATTGACTCAAAAGAAAAATCTTTACTGATTAATGATTAGCCATATCGGAATATCGTTATTCTTATATTTATAGACCTACCAACAACAAAGGGTGATCCATTTATATCCACGAAAATAGGATCTTGCTGGAAACAACCAACACCAGGGAAATTCCTAGAAATTCTTACAGCTGACAAAATGGGGGTGAAGAAGTTGAAAAGAACCAATCTAGGTTGTGACAAATGTGTCCAGTCTATGCAAATTGTAAGCAGAGAGAGAATATTTACCCAGAGCCTCAATGAGCAGGCGAACATCCTCAACAAGAAGTGGCATCCGGTACTGCTGAACTCCCTGAGGTCTGTCTGACTCACCATAGCCCCTCATGTCGACTGCTACCACTCTGGGAATACAGAAAACTGGTGTCTTTTAGCTCTTGTCACCCCAAACAAGATCATCAGTTGTTCAAGGGATGTAATAATGATTGCAATACAATCCTCAAAGTTCTGGGTGCCCCTGAACAAAAGTATGTCCTAAAAGTTAACAATTTAGGGGTGCTTTCCCTGAAGCTGGGGTATATCTGTCTGAGAGGTGAGGAATCAACAGTCTACATTCAAAAAAGTTTATCTGTAAAATGGATGTGTACACAAAACTCAGGTTCTGAAACAAGACTAAAGTCCAGAGGTGGACGAACATTTTGTGAATGCAGGTATTACTGAGATCTATGAAGGGCGAGGAGAGGGATGTTGATGGGGCTATGGGGTTTCTAGCTTTGTGTGAATGTTAGGGTAGGCAATCACTAATCCATCTTCATAGAAAATGTGTCACAAAATACTTGCTCTGTTCTTGTGACCACAAAAACCACAGAGAATGTCCATCCATGTCCCTTTTACCCAAACACACACAAAAAAAAAAAAAAATGGACACAGAGCACAGTCTTAGCGAATCCAACAACATATTACTTAATGCATAAGACAGCACTCAGAAGTGCCAACACAAACAGTCCGACATTAGAAATTTACCAGAAGTTCAATGTCGATAGAAGCAGCAGTTACAACAGATCAGTAGTTGCACAAAAAAGAAACTGCATAAGCAGCACCATTAGTTCTCAACAGCAACACACTGGGACACAGACAGGAAGAACCCGTCTATCTATTAAGTTGGGGACGCAAAGTCAGCAAGCTGGCACACATATCACAAACTTAGCCTAACATGTGGTGCAAATAAACCAGACCACAAATATAACCGCAGACCACTTGCAGCTTCTGCCAGCACCAGGTTGACCATAGTCAGCTTTTTAAAATTGTTTTTTTTTCTAAAGATGGAACTATAATTTTTTTTTCCTGCGATTGCCCTAAAAAGTACATCTGGCAAGTTTTGTTATGGCTTACAACACTTTTGATCCCCCCATAATCACATATTAGTCGCTAATTACAGTATTTTCCCAAGTATAAGACAACCCATTTTGTAAGCCAACCCCCATTGTTTTTAAGCCCAAAATTATTCAGTAAATATTTTCATCAGATACTGGGTATAAGGGAAGCTGCCATGATGTAGCAGCTAGACGCCCGCCTGCGAATGGGAGGTTCATGGGTTCAGACCCTGACGGAGCCGGAATTTGTTTCACAAATGACCTTGGCTCTCAGGTTGACCCTGCTCTGAATGGGGACCACGTACAGTCCTGGGAAGTAAAGGTGGCCGGCATGATGTTCACCACATCATCCACAGAGTACTGACTGCTCTATAAATATAAGTCCTAGTCCTATATCTCAAATTCGCCTGAAGGTGTAGAAGAGAGTCCATTAAAAAAACAAACTGTGTATAGGACAACCCCCAATTTTAAAACTGGCTTAGGCATTGCGAGTTCGACTCGTAATTCCAACCTACCACGATCAAAACCAAGTACTGGCTGCGTGGATTTTTATCGTGGTACGGGGCATCGCAGGTCGACCCAGCCTTAAATGGGTACCAGGATGTATGTCCTCGGAAAGTGAAGACGGATGGCGTAATGCTGACCACATTACTCACCTAGTGCCAAATGGTCTGAAAAAATATGGGTGCTCTTCCCATATGCTTGATGTGCCTAAAGGCATAACAAGGGATCTTCACTTTACTAACAATTTTAAAATGAACCAAAAATAAATTTGAGAAAACTTGTCCTATACACGGAAAAATACAAGTGCCTTTTATGTCATGCTTGTTAGGATGTAATGAGTCTAATGCCTCCCCCTCCAAAAAAGGCTACAGAATCCACATAGAGAGCTTAAATGGTTATACCGGAAGTCCTTCTGGAACTCCTTGATCTGGTAGCGCCAGGAGTACCATATTTCTGGGAATCCATGCAACAGTAACATAAGAGGTGCCTCACTGGGTCCACTGGCAACATAATGTAATTTGATTGGCTGCAAGTTAAAGACATCAGGTCTGTTAGAACTGAACATATAATATGACTGGCTGCAAGTTAAAGACATTAGGTCAGTTAGAACTGAACATATAATATGAATGGCTGCAAGTTAAAGACATTAGGTCAGTTAGAACTGAACATATAATATGACTGGCTGCAAGTTAAAGCAATGTACAACAAACTAGATCAGTCATAGCAATGTACCAGCAACTACCCTAGTCACAACACTGTCCTACAAACTACCCAAGTCACAACATTGTCAAACAAACTACGCAAGTCACAATATTGTCACACAAACTACCCAAGTCATAACATTGACACACAAACTGCCAAAGTCAACAATATACCATAAACTACCCAAGTCATAACATTGACACACAAACTGCCAAAGTCAACAATATACCATAAACTACCCAAGTCATAACATTGACACACAAACTGCCAAAGTCAACAATATACCATAAACTACCCAAGTCACAATATTGTCACACAAACTACCCAAGTCATAACACTGTCACACAAACTAGATAATTCATAACAAAATACCACAAACTGCCTAAGTGATAACACTGTCACACAAACTACCCAAGTTATAACATCCCACAAACTAGACAAGTCCTAGCAAAATCCCACAAACTAACTAGGTCCTAACGATGTACCACAAACTACCAAAGTCATAACATTGTACCACAAACTAGATAATTCATAATAATATACCACAAACTATGCAAGTGCTAACAATGTATCACAAACTACACACAACATTCTCACAGAAACCACCCAAGTCATAACACTGACACACACACTACCCAAGTCCTAACATTGTACCACAAACTACCAAAGTCATAACATTGTACCACAAACTAGATAATTCATAATAATATAGCACAAACTACACAAGTTCTAACAATGTACCACAAACTACGCAAGTGCTAACAATGTACCACAAACTACACAAGTCATAACAATATCACAGGTGCTAACCCCAATGTTGATGAAGTTGTGCTGTCCATAAGCAGGGTCAGACAACCTTGCTGGGGGTGCTGTGGACACCTTCTTATAGAAGAGCTTCTTTGGGCCAGTTAGAATCAGACGAACCACAATAGTGATGCACCACAGCCAGGCCCAAGCGAGTCCAATCACCAGGAAAATCAGTCGCTCCAGCAGGTCTCCCATGCCGGCTTGTAGTGACCTTTATCTGAGCAAATTTGACAGATAAATTTGTCTTTAAAATAAAAAAACTCAATCTATATTTCTGAGACACAGAGGCTTCGTGTATATGGAATTAATCTTCTTCAATAATTCTTATTATAACTGCAACTTTGTGGGACATGAAAGAGAAGACTTCATAGCAAAAACTGGAAGCAATATAGAAACTGCAAGATGCAGAATGCACTTAAATCTTTCAGTCCAAAGAAATACATCATATGTTCACAGGTACCTACCAAGAAGCCTAATGAATGCAAGATGCACCAATTTTACATCTCTCTTTACTACCCCTTTGGCCGAAGATGCTGAACTCCCCCTGTGACTAAAAGAGTTCAGAGGAAAATGAAACCACCCTAAGAAGACAATCCTGAAGACCCAGTCAACTTTCTCAAATGGAAGCAATAGACCAGTGATTTAGACTGCAAACTGGACACGACAAACTCTGCAGCCATATGTTCGAGAAATTCAAAACTGGGGACTCAGAAGTTTGCCCATGTGGACATACACCATAGAATACAGAGCATTTACTACATATATGTTCTTTACATGTAGTAGGGAGATTCCTGGTCTGGCCAGTTAAACTTCCAGGCAAAACATATGTGGATGGAGCATTGGACATGTGTCACATCAAAGCTTTTACAGAGACCTAGGATATTTTCATATGAAAACCATTGGCAGTGAAAAAAAAATAAAGAAGATAATAATGAATGAATCAATCAATCGAAACTGATATCTCTGCACTCAGTACATTTCCCTGTTCTATGTCTCTTTTCTCAGCAGACAATAAAAAGTCGAAGTGCTAACAGTATCAGCTGCAACCTGACTAACAGTCTGCCAATGTTTCCCCCTCAGTGTTTCGTATCCTCCAAACCCCCTGCTTAGCACTCGATTTAGTCTTTTGGTTGTTTCAGCTCATCCAGCATCATCTCTCTTGGTCTGCCTCTATCCCATTTTCTACTGATCTTTTCAGTTGTCACGATGTTCTCTAATGTTTCTTTTCTCATTATGTGGCCAAAGAACAGTGTTTATCTCTTTCTTATTGTTCTATATAGCGATCTACTTTTGTGAGCTTCTTTCAAGCAATCGTTGTTAGTTACTCTGGCCATCCAAGGTATTCGTAACATTCGTCTCAGAAACCACATTATTGTTGCTTCAAAATTCTTTCTAATTTGTTCACTGACATTTCACGATTCGCTGCCATACAGCAGAACAGGTTCTATATAACATTTTAGCACCCTCTTGACATTAAATGGCAGCGATTTATTGCATAAGATATTTTTCATTTTCTGAAATGGAGCTTTCGCTTGACCTATTCAGCTTTTAATCTCTGTCACACATTTTCCATCTCATGATATGATTATTCCCAGATATTTGAATTTATTGACGTGTTTGATATTGCCGAAATATTTAAGGGATAACCATAGGTTATGAACAATTCTGAGGGTACAACTACTAGAGAGGCAACCTGACTTTGAAAGGAACATCCCTAATCAGTTATGACATACCTGTTAGAGGGGCAGTGGGTCTATTCTATTCCCCCCCCCCCCCCCTACTCCCGAAATGGGGCCCTGGAACCCACAAGGGAAGATAACATAACAGGACATGGTGCAACGTGTATCAAAGGTCAAACCTGGTGAACTGCATTTCAAGTAAGGTAACCAGAAAACATCTAGCCACATTATGTTACAGTTAGGGAAAAAAAAAACAAGTGCAGAGTCAGCACTACAAATGCACATCTACACAAAAATCCTTGGCCTAGATATCTCGCTCACCCAACTTGTTCTTTGTTCTCTCTGAGTGGGTTCTGAAGCCCCATTCTGAAGGGGGAAAAGAACAGATCCACTTTTCTCTAACAAGAATGTCATAGCAGGTGTCTGATTAGGGTTTTGTTGAAATCAAAGGTATTGGGCCCAAAGTAATAGCTGTTGCACGGCATACAAGTTTGGGCTAGAAAGGCTCATTATAACTGTACTCAGAGATTACCAAACATGGGCTGAATAGGGCAGTAGAACAGAAAATTACATGTGAAATGCGGTATCTCCACAAGGCTTCTAATATTATAAGAACAGATAGGGTGACGAATACCAGCATTATAGAAAAAGTTGAAATAAGACCATGTGTGGATTATACTGACAGACAAAGAACAAAATGGTTCAGTAAGAAAGCAGCCAGATCAAACTGCATATCAGATTTTTTTTAAACCGCAGAACACCTGGGAGGAAGGCTAGAGGAAGACCAAGAAAGATAAAGATAAACGGTGTAGCTGAAACCTTCAAAAAGATGAACAAATCCAACACCCAAGCCACCGGAGATGCACAAAACAAATACATAAAACCAGACCCTGGGCTACAACCAAGAAAGAAAGTAAGAAAGTAAACAAATTCTAAACAATTTATCATTTACCTGTGTTTTTTTAACCGGATATTCTTCAGAAATTTATATGGGTTCATGACCCTTATTTTTACATTTCACAGGGCAAAGGGTTCTTCCTCTACTCAAAGTCCAAGCCGTTTGGGGATGGTAGTCATGTCAGTCCACAACCTTCTGTCCCCTGTATGTTCAATCAACTTTGATACAGATGATCCATCATGCTATGATGTCAGACTGTCCAGCACCTTTTCTCTTGGTCTGCCTCTCCTTCTCTCTAACTGTCACAGTATGCTCCAATTGGCTCTTCTTGCAATAACGGTCACTAGTTGGACAGCGACGGCCGCTTAGTCGGAGTTCAGTCCCCTGGCTGCAGTGCAATTACGGAGTGGAAAAGAGGGAACGACACAAATGACATAATTAGGACTAGGGGTGGGGTTAGGGTTTGGGTAATGTGAGTCGCAGAGCGTGGTCTAGACGCCATGTTGAAGTCACTGTATTTTGTGATTCGTGCCTTGTCCACTCCGTAATTGCACTACAGCCAGGTGACTGAACTCTGACTAAGCAGCCGCCGTCCAAGTAGCGACCGTTATTGCAAGGAGAACCCTCCAATTTTCTCCTTTTCATCACATGACCAAAGAATGTAGATTGTCTCTTTTTGATGTGGGCAATCAGTTCTATTCATGAGTCAGTTTCATTCAAGACGTCTTCATTACACTTTTTATTTGTGCAGGGTAGTATCATTCGTCTATAAAACCACATCTCAGCAGCTTCCAAATAAGTTTTCACTAATTTACCAACTGTCCATGATTCACTTCCACATATCAAAAAGTCTTACTTCTTTTACAGTTTTCCGTGTATCAGCTTGCTAATTCCCTTGTACGCCTGCATATCCTGGCACGAATATGAAACCACCGATATGTGTCAGCTACAACAGATATGTATCAGCTACAACAGATATGTGTCAGCTACAACAGATATGTATCAGCTACAAAAGATATGTGTCAGCTACAACAGATATGTATCAGCTACAACAGATATGTATCAGCTACAACAGATATGTATCAGCTACAACAGATATGTATCAGCTACAACAGATATGTATCAGCTACAACAGATATGTGTCAGCTACAACAGATATGTGTCAGCTACAACAGATATGTATCAGCTACAACAGATATGTATCAGCTACAACAGATATGTATCAGCTACAACAGATATGTATCAGCTACAACAGATATGTATCAGCTACAACAGATATGTGTCAGCTACAACAGATATGTGTCAGCTACAACAGATATGTGTCAGCTACAACATGTATCATACAACAGTATCAGCTACAACAGATATGTGTCAGCTACAACAGATATGTGTCAGCTACAACAGATATGTGTCAGCTACAACAGATATGTGTACAACAGCTATACAACAGATACAACACAGATATGTGTCAGCTACAACAGATATGTGTCAGTACAAACAGATATGTATCAGCTACAACAGATATGTGTCAGCTACAACAGATATGTGTCAGCTACAACATATGTATCAGCTACAACATAGATATGTATCAGCTACAACAGATATGTATCAGCTACAACAGATATGTATCAGCTACAACAGATATGTATCAGCTACAACAGATATGTATCAGCTACAACAGATATGTATCAGCTACAACAGATATGTATCAGCTACAACAGATATGTGTCAGCTACAACAGATATGTGTCAGCTACAACAGATATGTGTCAGCTACAACAGATATGTGTCAGCTACAACAGATATGTGTCAGCTACAACAGATATGTATCAGCTACAACAGATATGTATCAGCTACAACAGATATGTATCAGCTACAACAGATATGTATCAGCTACAACAGATATGTATCAGCTACAACAGATATGTATCAGCTACAACAGATATGTGTCAGCTACAACAGATATGTATCAGCTACAACAGATATGTGTCAGCTACAACAGATATGTGTCAGCTACAACAGATATGTGTCAGCTACAACAGATATGTATCAGCTACAACAGATATGTGTCAGCTACAACAGATATGTGTCAGCTACAACAGATATGTGTCAGCTACAACAGATATGTGTCAGCTACAAACAGATATGTATCAGCTACAACAGAGATATGTATCAGCTACAACAGATATGTGTCAGCTACAACAGATATGTGTCAGCTACAACAGATATGTGTCAGCTACAACAGCTACAACAAGATATGTATCAGCTACAACAGATATGTATCAGCTACAACAGATATGTGTCAGCTACAACAGATATGTATCAGCTACAACAGATATGTATCAGCTACAACAGATATGTATCAGCTACAACAGATATGTGTCAGCTACAACAGATATGTGTCAGCTACAACAGATATGTATCAGCTACAACAGATATGTGTCAGCTACAACAGATATGTATCAGCTACAACAGATATGTATCAGCTACAACAGATATGTATCAGCTACAACAGATATGTATCAGCTACAACAGATATGTGTCAGCTACAACAGATATGTGTCAGCTACAACAGATATGTATCAGCTACAACAGATATGTGTCAGCTACAACAGATAT